CCTCCCACAGCCTCCACAACCCCTCCCAGAGCCCGTGACACCCCTGGGGTGAGAAGCCCCATGGAGAGGGGTGAGCCCTGGGTGGTGGAGCCTCAATGGGGGCGGTGATTGCCCCATTAATGGGGTTTGCCATCTTCCAGTCACACGTCCCTGCTCCCAACTTACTTCTCGCTCTCCCCCAGCCACTTGGACATCAGATCAGAGGACGAGACGGAGAAGAAGGTGGAGTTGTTGGCCTCCGTGGCCACGGCCTTGGCCAAGTAGGATTTGCCGGTGCCGGGAGGCCCAAAGAGTAGGATCCCGCGCCAGGGCGTGCGCTTCCCTGCGACAGAGGCCAGTGTCACAGTTCCCCTGTCCCTGGATCCGCGTGGGGGCACAGGGACACATGGCCCCGCTGTTTGGGGTCACCCCCCAGCACGCACCCACCCCCCAGCACCTCCTCCCTCACCGGTAAACAAGTGTGGGAACTTGATGGGCAGGATCACGGCCTCCTTCAGGGCTTCCTTGGCTCCCTCCAGCCCGGCCACGTCGCTCCACCGCACGTTGGGCTTCTCCATCATGATGGCACCTGCAGGGGGGCTCTGCTCAGACGTGAGCCAAGAAAGCCAGAGCCCTCGTCCCTCCCCACACCAGCCCCATTGCCCCTGGGCATGGAGCACAGTTGGGGCCCCTTCCCCGCCCCCATAGCCACCTCTGGTGATAGCCATTTGGGAATGACCTCACGCCTGTGCCCACCACAGCCCCTCACCCATCAGCTGCTCCTGCAGCTTCTTCTTCTCGGGGTTCTCGCCCTCGCTGTCGCTGTCGCTCCTGGGGACAAGGGACATGGGGTCAGGGCCCCGCCAGCTCTGCCATGGGGCAGTGGGGGGGGTCCTTTGCCCTTCCACGCACCCCTTGTTGTCATTCTGGGACTCCTTCACCGGCTTCTTGCCCTGCTTGTCCTTGCTGCGCAGGTATTCCTTCAGCTTCTCCGCCCGGTCCAGGTACTGCGCGCACTTGGCCCGGATGCTCTCCTTCGCCTTGTCACTGTGAGCCTCATCTGTGGAGAGAGACCCC